GAAAACAGTTACTATACGGACACATTGCAAGCAAGACATAGCCATGTGCTCTTTAATTACATCTATACGCTATAAAACATACCTGGTTGTTTCCTTTAGTAGAAGTATATATGAACTATTTAATATATGAACTACTTTATATATGAACTGGCTATTGAAATATAGAAATCCTGATGTCAATTATCTTTCGTTTTAGTAACAGGGGACCTGTGCAAGCCGGGCACTTGTGGAACAAGTTTTGCTAAATGTGTTGCTTTACATAGCACTCATACCTGCGTGTGCCAATATGGATTCTACCATAACAACAGTGATTGTCACAGAGGTGAGTTGTAGAAGGGCAACCTATATTTTCAGTTACTTCACAGGTAACTGCTCAGGTGAATTTTTCTTCCCATATCCCTTGTTCTTATGTTATAACTGAAAACATAATCAGTCTGGGAAAGCGACTGCTGAATAATGCCTTGCTTTGCAGACAGCCACTGCTACAATGACCTAGATTGTTATCTCACAAAACAGTAACAGCCAAAGAGGTTAATGTACTAGAAAAAGGTGAGTTCTCTATCAGGGGTGCTGGAGATTAAAATGAGTAAAAAGCAGGAAAAAATGCAAGCGTAAATCTGACATCAATATAAATGGCCAGGATTTAAAAAAGCCCAAACCCATGAAGACCTCTGAACCACGGGCTTGATTTTCCCTATTGCTAAACACTCATCACAGTCCTGTTGAAGTGCATCTCTGAGATGCTGCTAACGGCCAAGCGTGTGAGCAAATGGGGCTTCTTATTTAAGTGCCAGCAGGGAGGATTCTCAAATTTACTTGTGAGCCTAAAGAAGCAGGTAGATACTGAATCGCTTTCTCAGATACGGTGAACCATGTTAGCTGTTTAGTGTCTGCAACTGCAAATTTGAAGTCCTTAATTAGATATTTTCTCACTAAATGCTGTAACACTTCAGATGGAGTCTTTTGTTAGCTTCAGGCCATGCTTACAGTTTAACATTATTCAGTTTCATAGTCTGGCTTGAAACTGAGTTTGGTTGAGCCCAGGATCCTGCCTGCTTCCCAGGTAGCCAGAGTACATCCCCCATTGTGGCTGAATTGTTTGGGCAAATATTTGTCCCCTACTGATTCCTCCAGTATATGAAAAATAACACTGATTGATTGATTGATTTCTGCATTGTATTTCCCCATCTCTGACAGCTGGAGAACTCTAAGGTGAAACCCGACTTAATTGAATGCTTTCTAATTAATTAATATTCTCTGTTCTCATTCCAGGGCAAATATTCCCAGGGATCATTACACTGAATCAATTTTACAGTGATAGTGTTCAAACTGTAACTTCTGTGCAGTATCAAGAGGTGTTCCAAAATATAACAGGTTTTGTGAGTAATGATTTTTTAAACCTTTTGTGTGTATTTAATGCTTTCCTGAATGTCATGCAGACAGAGGTGATACATGCTGCCTTTAATGTGGAGCCTAGGATAGTTGCACTTGAGAAATCTACTTCTTTCAAAGAATGCTTCATACTAGTTTAGACCTGTTCATAAAAGATTTTAATTTTACCCTCAGATGTATACATGCATGGCTCTTGCTGAAGTGAAGGGAGGAAATAAGTAATATCTGCATTTCTAGCGCCACTTCTATTCTGGGAAGTTCTCACATAAATTGCTCTGTATCTTTCACCATTCCCTCTCCAGAAACCATGGGGCTGAGCGGAGTTTTCCAGCCCATTTAGTTTCTGATCTCTGCTGTTTGCTGAGGGTTCAGTAATACTCAGTGGTATGTGTAAAAATGAACAATTTTATTTTTTTTTATAGAAATCTATCGTTTCCACACAGCACAAACTTTTCAGAATGGCTGTTCAGCCGTGTCTAATTACCTAAATAATAAACCTTTTCCATAAGCATACCAGTATTAGTATTTTAATGCTATTAGTGAAATGGATATCACACATTTTGAGCGTTCTATGATTATACATAAAATCTTGTAATGGATTTCCTGGAGAAATAAGGTGAACAGTTTAATTTATACTACCATGTTGAAACAAGTGGATTTGCTTATGTCGCTTTCTGGAAGTAAGGAAGAAGAGTTATGCAACTTTACCAGACAGCTGATCAAAAAATATTCTTCATGTTATTAATGTTATATATAATGTTATAATTCTTCATGTTATTATATTGCTTCCTATGAATGTTTTATCAGAAATTAACCACAAATTGTCCCTCCAGAATGTTAAAAAATATTTTACTCAATTTTTTTGTCCAACATTTTTTCATAACATGGCTATATCTAGTGCCTGATATGCAGCACTAGAATAGATATGTAATAGTACACAAAAGTGAAAATAGCATAGAAAATAATTTTTATTTTATTATAATGAAGGATAGTTTATCTTTCATTTCAGTTGACTGAGGCACCTTATCCTTTTCTCATGGTGCCTCCTGCTTGTGTGGCAGTTGGAGGCAGCTGCCTCCACCAGTTGTTCCGTGCTTCACACAGGATGAGGGAGAGCAGTGACTTTTCTACCGACCCCATCCAACCCCCAGTGCTTTCATCAATGCTGTGCTTCTCCCCACAAGATCAACCCCTGATGATCCCACTTCACTGCATCTTAGGGACACATGCCTTCTGTAAAGATGCCTACTTCTCTCTCTTCCCTCTACTTGTATGTAGGTTGGTACCATGGAGACGTGCTTCTAAGCAATGAGTCTGCAAGGGAGTATCTGTAGCTATCCAGCCAGTCAACCCTAACGCACTGCCTGACATTCATTCAACTTGTGTCTCTCCATCCCTCCACTGCTCTCCTATATTCCTTCTTTTACAGCACCATCCCACCGATCCTCTTCTGCAATACCTTGCGTGGTGGATGTGACAGATCAGCTTGCTTTATTTGTGCCTATAGTAGCATGTTCTGGATTAAAACTTTACAGCTGAAGCCTCAGTGCTTCATGTGATTTTGGTCTATGTTTCTGCTTGCCTTTAACTCAAATTCATTTATCTTTTACAGTTTAAGCATGCCTTCACCAATTTAAAAGGTTATGGACAGACTGTCATTGTGGAAATTCAGTAAGTTTGCCAGTTTGGTTTTTGCACAGTGCGTGCTTCCTACACACCTCCTTTTAATTTGTTTCCCATGGAGTACTCAGTTCAAGAAAGGATATGGAATGAGTTCAGTTCAGTACGCCTCCTGTTAAATGAGGGCATTCTTTTTGTATTTTTAAAGTTTCTGTGATGCTGGCCCCATTTTTACCCCATGGATTTTCAATATGTTTGTGAAGTGGGCTGACTGAGACAGCTCCACAGTGGATCTCCCACTTTTAGTACCATGTGGGACATAGCAGTGTGCTACAACTAGCAGCCCCTGTGATATCTGACATGTCTCTGAAATGGTAACAGTTAACTCTGAGGTTCCTATGAACAGGTCCAACTTGGAGTCCCAGTTTAATTTAAGAAATACCCTCATTGCATAAGCTCACTGCTTCTCGTTGTGCATTTGCTGGTTTCTCCTGATGGCAGGCTTTGCAAAGATGTTATTGAATGGGCTGTGGTGACTGTAGCTGTGGGCATAGCTCCTTTGCTGATCCAGAAGGACACTGTAAGATGTCCCTCCCTTCCCATCCCCATCTGTTACAGGTTACTGTCCCCAGAGCTCTGTCAGCTTCTCTGGGAGTGCTCCCTAACCCACATCAAGCAAAACCTGGCATGCTGGCACACACAGCAGCGTAAACCCTTTCAGCAAACCCCATGAATTAAGAAGTTAAGCAGACTGTTGTTCTAGCTGAGCTGTGAGGGCAGTAACTTCCAGCAGAGCGGTTGTGACAAACACATGGGGCACAGTAACATCTCAAAGCACTACAGCAATCTACCACTTAAAGGTATTTGTGTGCATATCCCAGCAGCATGAAGTTCAGCTGAAGAACAGAGTAGTCACTGCTGTTCTCCACTTCACCCCAGGGAGATTGCAGTCCAGCTGAATCCAACCCAGCTAGCATGCAGTTAGCATAGATACCTCTACACTGCAAACACACCCATCTGAACTCATTGCAGTCATACCCTGAATTATTGTCACCACACTTCAGGGTGGGTTCTCCACCTCATGTCTGGATGACACCACAGGCTGATGTGAGCATGTAAAAGTTAGGGTCTAACAGATGAGGTCCTCCACACTGCAACCAGCTTGAGAATAGCCCAGTAAAAAAATATCATTGCATGCCAACAGCACAGAAAGGAGTGATGTTGTTAGCATTAAATTCAACAGCCGTTGCTTACCAGCTACATATTTACATCTGGATCTACTGGAAAGATGGCCATTAATGTATTCCTACGCAAGACTTGAACTTATTTTCAGGTGTCTTAGCAACTACCTACATGGTGGGATGAAAGAAGCTAGGGGAGAGAGGAAGGTTTGGCAGAAATCTTCTCTTGTCTTTGCATCTAGCTTGCTATCCATATGGATTATATAAGACTTTAAAATGATGCTATCTGTACTTTTCAGACCTGTAAATGAAAGCAAAGCTTCTGTTCCAATGACTGTAACAGTGATGAACCTGTTTACGGAGAACTCAGATGTAGACAATGAGGCAGTTACTGACGCAATAAATAAAACATTAGGAGGGTGGTCCTATGTCTCTCAATACAGAGGTATGTAATTCCTTACTGTAGACATAAATAATCAGTAGAACCAGAGGTTCCTATCTTCAAAGCTGTTAGAACATTTCTGTGTGCAGCAAAGCCCATCAGAGCATAAGCCTTGTTTTTAAGGAGCTGAATGTTCAATCTTAGCTAATTGTGAAGACTCAACAATTCAGTGCTGGGCTTTTTTGTCTCTTTAAGGCTTTCTACTTCCTGTATAAAGAAAAGAAGGAAAATACTTATTTCCAACTAAGCAATCACACGTTGATTTTAACCTGCTGGGTGTTAAGTGGCTGGAAAAATCAGGACACAGTATATACAGACATATATTGTGCTTCTGAGAATAAGCCAGTGTTTTACTGGCAAAATAAGATGAAACTCTCTTTAGACTTCTTCTTCCATAATTAACCATGGTAATTGGAATGAGGCCTCACTGATTAGCTACTGAGCTAAGTGATTCATTGGTCTAAACGAGTAAAGTCTTGCATTACTGAAGTGTAACACTTGGCGAATGATTTTGTAAATAAAATATAGATTTGTTTTTCTCTTTTTTTTTTAATATGCTCCTATTTTGAAATCAGCTTTCACAAAAGGCATAGCTAATAATTAAAGGAGTCCCTTTCATAGTTTATAGCCTGCGTTTGGTCTCTGAAGGTGACTGTCTCCACCTCAGCCATGACATGTTCTGTGTGCTAGTCATGAGGGGGAAATAGAAAAAGCCTGAGAGCTCACAAAGCACCTGTGCAATCACATCCCCCCACTGCATGTCACCCATTGCGGTTTGTAAACCATTCCCACCACTGGGACATGGATCTAAAGAGCAACATGCTGGGCAAACAGCATGCTAATATTGCTCATGAAATGAGCTGCATACCCATAAACATCTATATCTATATAGAACTGTATGGGAACTGGGCCTCACAGTTCAGTTGTAGAAAAAAGTAGAGGAGTAGTGCTGGGGTTTTTCAAGATTAGTCAGAAAGTCAGTGTTCAGAATATGAACTTATGGGTAGAATTTCCCTCTTCATGGACTCGGGGGCCCGAAGGTTTGGAGGCAGTTGTAGGAGGCTGAGAAACAGAAGGTCAGAAGATGGGATGGAAACAGGACCTTAACTGGTAAAGAGCGAGGGAAAAGAAAGGGCTGGTCCAAATGCCTGCAGTATCAATGTCCCAAAAAAAAGGACTTACAAGTTTTCTTCAGAATTGCTAAATAATTGGCTTATGATTTACTGTGCAAGTGCACTGCTTTCTATGAAATGATATTATTAGTACTCAGTTTGCTTCCTGACTCTTTCTCTTTTAAAGTTGCATCCTATTGTGCTGTTTTCAATTGTGATACTCAAACCACAGAATGCGAAGAAGATATAGTTCCAACATGTAAATGCAAACAAAATTTCTCAAAGACAGAATGGGATGTTCGTTCTTGTTCAGGTAAGAACCCTGCTACTTTATCTATCCCCGAAAGGCTGACCTGGTTATTCCCTGTCTCAGTCCCTTTTTGAAAAGGGCACTCTGCAAATGTGCTGACCTCTAAAAACTCAGGGAATGTGTGCCTTATTAAGAAAGCCATAGAAACACATTCTCACATTTCACTTTAAACACGTTGCTAATTCTATTCCAGTAGAATAAACTACTAAAGCCTGAGAAAATTATCACTAAAACCAGTGAGTGGGCAACTTTTTAAATGCATTGTTAAACTCTTGGTAAGAATTGAAACCTAAATAGGTAGAGGATGGAACAAGTTGAATCCTATATTCACAGCCTTCTCTGCTAGGACATATTTTGGGAATAAATTCTACATGTTACCTGGTGGCAGCTGTGGGGACGCTGACAGAACTGGAAGTCTCATGATACACTACAATGATCTGTTAAAGCTCTGTCCATTTTTGGTAGTTCTAGGATTGAATTACCTGTGTTTAGACAGGTTTTAGAGGAAGATGAATTTATGGGATTTTTAGGAACTGTTAGTTGGGGTTTTATTTGCTTGTTGATTTTGAATCTTTTAATGACTACTCTCTTTGTATTTTAGCTGTCCTTCAGAGTCCTGAGATGTACCTTATTTTCTTCTTATGAAAACTAAATTTTCACACTACAGAAAAAAGGCCTAAGATATGAGATTTTAAGAAAAACAAGAAATATTGCAAACACTCATGATAAAATCATGAAAGCTGGCTACAATAAAGGCCAGTGACATGTGGTGCAGCATTGGCCTTTGTGATCCCTAACCCATCTAAATCTGATCCAGTTTTAGATCAGTTGCAATACAAATCATCTGCTGTGAGATCAAACTGCAGGTCATTGCTTGCCTATGTAAGATGCAGCTTAGCCAGATTTCCATTCTAATGAAGCTGGATGGTTTAAACAAAGACTGTTTAATTTTAATTTTGTGCTTTTGTATTTCAGTTTCTGTTCTACATAGGTATAGCCCTAAAAAAACCATTTGATGCTTTGAAGCACAACAAAGTTGTGTGTGTTTACAATGCAATTAAAAAAAAAAAAAAAAAGAGGGGGTGGAATTTTCTCCAGTGTGGATTTTTTGGGGGCTATCTTCAATTCACTCTGTATTTCTTCCCTCTGAAAATACAGATTGTAGTAAAGACTGTTCTGCAGAAGAAAACAAGTACTGTGCAAAAGAAAATGGGACTCCAAAATGCAAATGCATGCCTAACTTTGAAGAGAAGAATACAAAATGTGTACCGTGAGTACTCAGCTTTTTCTTGCATTCCTGTGTTCTAGGCAAAGATAGGGGAGAAGAACATCTAACACAAGGTCACCTTCAATCTAGAAGAACAGCCTTCAGTTATGTGAATCAGAGAGGTGCCTAAGGTGGTTAGCAGGTGGACAAATTCCCATTGCGTCACAAGTTATGGCATTTTAACAGTTTGGCATTAGCCATTGGTGTGCATTCGTAATACCTCAGAGGAAAGTCAAGGAGATCCAAAATCATCTGTGAGTCAGTGAAGAGGATAAACTACTTCACGCTTATTTTGTGGGTTGCCCACATAACATAAACTATTCCCTCAGAGTAATTTAGCCATGGGAACTGGTATGCTGAAGCGTTTAGTAAGCAATAGGCATTAGAGCAAGGCTTGTCTCAAATCCCTGGAAAGTTGCCACTGATATCAGTGGGGACTTTGTTTCCTGATAGCTTTCAGACCTATGCTATTTCGTCTTGGTTTTCCCTCTGAGGGTATTTCTGTCAGCTCAGGACCAGAACAGAGCAGTGTTGTTTGCTGGTGAAGCTGAGTAGCTGTCTGGTTGTGCTCTGCTCCCAACGAGAAGCAGAGGGACCTTACTCCCCATATCCATTAATTCAGCTCTTTTAGTAGTTATTGCTGCTACATACTGAACACTTCTTACCATAAAGTCAATATATTTTAAATATAAGAAACTAGTATGGGAGGAAGATAAAGAGCTGCCAGTCATTATAGACCTTATATTGAGGCTTTTGATAAAGACAGTGGGTATCAATTCCAAGTGGCTCAGAGGTGTAGGGCTTAGTTCTTCACAGAAGTCAGACCCTTTTAACATTTTTCAGGCTGAGAACCTGAAACTTTGAATGCCCAGCTCACCAATCATTCTGAAAATCTCAGATTGTTTTACTTTAACAATGAAACTAAACAATTCAATATTAAGATAGCATTAAAGAGGAAACCTGTAATGAACGCACCTTGCAGAGAAATTGCTGATAAAAGGTGGAACTATACTATAGTTTTGTGATCATCTGCTTAATGACATTATCTTTCTTTTCTTGCTTTCCCCTTTTTTCTGTCATGTAGTTGTCCAGTGGGTTACTCTGGAGACAACTGCAAGAACAGTAAGTACAAGAATTTCTGATTTGTAATTACAGCATGGAGAAATACCCAGTAATGTTTAATCTGGCTGAGATAACAAAAATAACTAGTAGCCGCCTTTAGGGGTGCCACCATCCTGTATTGATAGCAAGAAAATGTTAGAAAAAAATGAGAGAAATTCCACTGTTGCCTGGAAGGAACAATCCTTCTTGAAACTCATGTTCAGACAGTAGCATTTCCTCTAATGACCTCTGCATTAAGCCCAATAGTTTTTAATCAACCACAGGTTATTTGATAGAAAAGCATTCAATCCTCATGTAAAGACATACAACGCTGAACCCGGTACCACTAATGCATTAGTTTCTCCTGTCATTAACCACTCCATTAAAATGTCAGTGGATTACTCTCATTTGAAGTGTTTCTGCTTTAATATCCAGCCACTGGTTCATGTTTGTGCTTTACCTTGGAAGCAAGCACTGCATAGTATCTAGTACTCTGTACTGGTGAAGAGATGATGGCCGCGACTGTGTTATCCCATAATTGTGATCATCTGGATCAGTTAACCAGACTGGCCTTCCAAAGCTTTTTCCCTTTTCTGAGTCAGTTTTGCAGCTGTTTGCTGCACCTTCTCCAGTTTCCACCATCGTATAGATTAGGAGAGGACATTCTTCATGCCTTCTAGTGTTTGCATGTGCCTAAACTCAGAACATCTAATACAGTCAAAGGCAGGCTGAAAAATGAACAGTTATGGCTCTTCACTTCTCAGAATTCCTTTGGCTTTATTTGAGCAAAAGGTACATGCTCATGTGGCCCTTTGGAGTCTACTGCATTCTTAACCTTATACATGTTTAACATACCTGTGTCTGCAGCTATGAGATCTTCAAGGGTTTTCTTTTAGTTTTGCCTAAAAGCTTTGGAGATTGGCTAATGGTAGTTGTAGTGCAGCACAGAGAATCTTGCCAGGTGTAAATGTTTGGCAGGAAGGATATTTTTCATCACATGGAACATATTTTTCTAGAGAAAGTTTTGGGAATTTCAAGGCCTTTTTCATAAAGCAAATGAAAATACTAAATTGACATAAAATCAACACATTGTGAATTTAAACACGAATTTGGGACCTGCTAATAAACACCATTAATAGCCTCATCTTCTCCATATGGCACTTGGTGGGTACTGATGTGAAAAATTTGCTGAGCAATAACCAAGGATACTTTACACATGCATTTGGCATAACGTTCTTCTGAGAAATCATATTCCCTGTTGTCTCGTTGTATGCTCCTATGACTAAACATGCTGGATCGTTCTGCTGGTAATGGCACAGTTGCTGGTTTCATGTTGTGTATTTCCAGTATAGGCATTCAGTATACTAAATGGCAGAGTCATAAATCCAGACTGGGATCTTCAAGTACGTACCACCAGTAAGGTTGGGTAGCTCAAGAGAGACTGTCTTACTCTTCACACCCTTGTCTTGAAATTATGCCCTGCGGGACACAATTCTCTCTTTATTTTTTCCTTACCATGGCTATGCAGAGTTAAGACTAGGTTTTAGTAGCAATTCCATTCACAGTTGAAGGAAGATATACAGAATCCAGGTCTTCCTCCCTTGCTCATTCTGGTTCTGAAGCAAGTTCAGTGAAAATGAATTTTCTTTGCCAAACATTTATTCAGATATGGGATATTTATGCAGTGTTCATAGTGCCACATAATAGACATCTCAAATCAGTGTGCCTTATGTGCCTAGAGCATGGGAAGAGCCTATTTGACACCTAACTACATATTTTAGCAGCAATAGTAGTTTAAGCAACCCCTGTGCCCTCCCAGTTGTTCCTGTCCCTCAGCTATACGGGAACAACTATGTCTGAAGCCATTCAGTGCGTGGGATTAGGAACCTGAGCTGGGATCAAAATAGCCATCCAGAAGAGATGGTCTTTAATGCAGATTGGTTCCTTCATTTACATCTTTCTGTGGCCACAGACAGTTGAACTGAGAGAGCACCAGGAGCCTGGGAATGAATAACTTTCTCTTTCTTTCTTCCTTTCTTCCTTTCTTCCTTTCTTCCTTTCTTCCTTTCTTCCTTTCTTCCTTTCTTCCTTTCTTCCTTTCTTCCTTTCTTCCTTTCTTCCTTTCTTTCTTTCTTCCTTTCTTTCTTTCTTCCTTTCTTTCTTTCTTCCTTTCTTTCTTTCTTCCTTTCTTTCTTTCTTCCTTTCTTTCTTTCTTCCTTTTTTCTTTCTTTTCTTTTCTTTCTTTCTTTTCTTTCTTTTCTTTCTTTTCTTTCTTTCTTTTCTTTCTTTCTTTCTTGAGACAGAACGTGGTTTGCAATATTTACCATGAGCTTTCAATTGCTGTTTCTTGTTTGTTTGTTTTTTTCCAGATAGTGAACTCATCCTTATAATAGTGGGTACAGTGTTTGGAGCAATTATCCTGAGTTTAGTGATAGCAGTCTCTGTTGTTTCAGTAAGGTAAGATTATTTCTGACAATTGAATAGAAGCTGCATTGCTGCATGTTCCTAGACAGCTAAGCAGAAATTTAGAGGGGGGAGGGCTGTGAATGTGGTTGCATGCCTAGTTGGGCAGACAAATTCATTTAAGTCATGTAGCTGTTAGAATTTGGTTTTGCCTGTGTGCTCTCCCCAGAAGTATTTATTCTCTTGCTGTGAATCTGAGCATGAAAGTTTCAGCCAAGTCTTTCAAAACACACACCTGACCCATTAATCATAATCCTGCCCTGACCAGTACTGATATGGCATCTGGATGAGACTGAAGAAGGATGCTGATATCGGAAGACTGTGTGGCCCAAATTCAGACCCTCTGCAGCTTTCCCTGCTGGCACTTCACCTCAAGGCCTGGCATGCCCCTTTCAGCTCAATACAGGTGGCATTTCCAGCCTAGCATCAATTTAAAGCTTGCTATTCCTGGTGTACTGGCAAATTCCCAATTGCAATTACACCTCCTCACTTCTTTCCACACAATGTGGAAACACTCAAGCAGCTCCTCTGCCTTTGCTCTCAGCGCTGCGCAGGTCAAGATGCCTACAAGACCACCCGTAGCAGGCATAGCTTGCCAGCAGGTGCACAAGCTGGTGCTGAGTGTGTGTGCGATGTATGGACTTGTGATCACAGGCAATTCAAATGCATCATTTGAGTGTCCAGCTTTGGCTGCAGGCACAAGGGCGACTTTTCTTAACTGGGCCTAATGAATGCCTCATTTCTTCCTCTGAATAGTCAGTTAGAGCTAGTGGTGGTGAAGGAAACGCCTTCGCTCTAGCAACTACTTGAAAGAAGCCAAAGTGCCCCTCTGTCTCTCCTAGCAGTTTAGCCCCATCTATGATAAGAGATGCCAAACTTTGCACTCTGTCATTGAGAATAAGGGTTTTGCAATAGGTATGCTAGAAAAACCTGTTGCATGTTTCAGAACAGACTGAGCATTCAAACTAAGGTGGGAGTGGACAACTCAATAAGTTGGACTTACTCAATAAGTAAGGCACACTAAAAGGTTTTTTAAAACCTTTGTTCTTTCATTTCCTCTGAAGAGCCAAACACAAACAAGATCCAGAGAAGACGAAACTGATAAAGTCGGGATATTCCAACCCAAATACCTCGGATAGACAGACCACGATGTTCCCCAGAGTCCAGACCACTTCTGGCCATGCGAACCCAGGATATCAGCCAAACAACCCATATGAGATGCATTCCTCAAATAGAGCTCATTTTTCGGACAGGGATTATGATGATTTGGTAAGTGTTTCACACAGGCGTATGGGAATTGTGTTCCTGCACTGTAGCATTGTGGGCTACAGATATTGCTGGAATCTAAACTCCACTCTGTCCACACTCCCTTCATCTAGAAGGCCAAAGTGGTATAAAGGCAACCAAACAATTGTAGCTGCAGCTGAAAAAATTTCCAGAGATTGGCACTCATGACCTTTCTAAAGCCCCAGTAGTCATCCTTGAGTTACTGGAGGGATATATGAAAGCGACAGTTTGGCTGCCCAGTGGTCTGCTGCGTCATAGGACATTTGTCTGTATTGACCAAGCACATCCTTCAGCACAGGCACGCATGCAAGCATCACAGGCTGTTACAACCTGTGCTTTTAAGCCAGCTGTAGTTTCAATAGGTGCTGCAGTGGCACTTCCCAGTTGCAGCCTCATGCAAGATCCACAGTCAGCTTAAGCTGGCACAGCTGCCCAGAGGGTGGCTGGCCTCCCACCCGCTCCACCACAGCCTAGTTCACAGCAAGAGGCTCTGCAGTTGCTGCAGCATTGCAAAGGGGTAAAGTGTAAAGTGCCATGAAAAAGCTAGCACAGCTTTTGCATTGATATAGCCCAGAGGAGCCTGTTCAGCAGAAAAGTGTCATTAGCTGGAAGGTCTGTTCTGAAAAAAACTGCCTGTTTTATCCTTGAACTCTGTAAGGGAGCTGCAGAGGAAGCAGGGGCTTGAGAAGTGCTACGCTGTGATATGACTGATTTGCTGGTTTCTGCATGCATCCAGTAAATGGGAAGCACATTGTCCGTTCAAACCTCATTTAAATGACATTTTAGCTCCAGCTCTGCAGTGCAAGAAACTACCCCTGATTAGTGAAGAAGATCTGTTTAATTGTAATAGACTTATGTGTTTTGCAGAATTGAGGCCTAAACTGTGATAGAAGCAACACAAAAACCTGATGTTTAAAAACCAGAAAAAAAACCAACCCACTTTTAAAAAGCTGCCAATTAAGAGAAGAAAACCACCTATTTAGTTAGTTGATTGATCAAATTCACATGGATTTCAGCATTTCTCGCTTTCCAAAGATGTCAACTTTTTACTGATTAACATCTGCCTGTAAAATATATTTGGTTTTCCTTGAGGGCTAGTGTGTCATTTAGAGAGAGGGTTAGCATGTGCTGAACTATTCTGAGAATGGAGCTTTCTGACCCAGACCTACTCTTTATTTATTTTCTTGTCCAAATTCTCTGTAGTACGAAATGTCACGGGAGCCTCAGGGCTTTAGGTTGCAGAGCAGATACTAAGTGACCAGAGCGGTAGAAGGATGGACGACCACCACGCCAATGGGTCAGACCAAAGCCTCTCACCAATGCAGTTACTTCAGCAGAACAGACAACAAAGTCCATAACCTCAGATTCTCTGAAGATTTGCTAAAGGAAGACCCCTGCTTGAAAGAGATCATGGACAACTCTGAAACAAGGGAAAAATGAAGCAGCGGGTAGGGAGAAGAAGAGGACTTCTTTTAAAAGAACTAATGGGCTCCAATAAACATTAGACTTCTTTCAGGAGGCCAGTATATTGGCAAGAGAGTGAGTGTAGACAAGATACCAGGATTTTAATCCTGCCGGTTTTCAGTTCTTCTGGAAGATGGTCTACGCAATATGTGTGATGCTGAAAAATGTCAGCACCCAGAGCTTTGCCTGTATTTGTGCTCACTCCATTTCAGCTACAGGCAGCCTGCATGGCTTTGGGCAGATGAAAGCAAGATCAAAACTGTTCTTCATGAGAACCTAACCTGTTTCTGTTTCCTGTATCAGATACAGTCTTTTTCCCCTCCTCAACCCCCCAATATTTCCTATCTGAAAGCATTCAGTTCAGTTCTCTGCTGACATGCGTTGTGTGAGACAATGGTATTTGTCTGACCTTTTATGCAGCCTTCCTTCCCAATACAATGACAAAACCCAATATCTTCAAACACTATTGTTCTCCATCTTGTACAAATATATTGATTTTACATTCTCAGCTCCTGGGGAAAGTGTTAGCATTTGTTTTTCTTTTGTACTCTTTATATTTTGATTGAATCATCTTAAGTCTTTTTATTTTTAATTTCTTACATACACTCAATAAATCTGTCTGTAAACGAATCCACATTTTACCATGTTTTACTGAGTGTGCATTATCTATTGACTAGCATCAACATTTCCTTATATATATAATATACATATGCACAAATATGTACATATATTTATAGATTAAATTAATTTAAAGCATCATTTAATTCCATGTTATATTTTGTGTTTTGGTTTTTATATATGCAGATTAACTTTTCCTATTAAACATTATCATTTCTCAGTACCAAGGCTTTCTTATATTGCTGCCCAGTGGTGTAAGTGGTTTTTTTTTTACAACTCCAGAGAAGATTTTATGTTAAAATTTGTGCAGAGTTTAGATGCAAGTGTGCACAGACTGGTTGCATCAGCACCCAGCTTTCACTCGGAGGTTCCGATCAGAAATATTATTAAATCTTAACGAATCTAAAATGTTTATTGTTGTAGGGCTGGCACCAATTTTCCGTGATCACTTTCAATGGGAATTGTGTAGTTAGTGCTGCTGGGTCTCCTTTGAAAATGCCGGACAAGCTTCTCTCTGTGATGGCAGCTTTGTGCGTAGCAGTCTGTTAATATCACACGGCTAAAAAAAGACATCTCTTCCAACTGAAATGACAAGTTTAGGGGCCAGTGGTAGAGAACACTGTATGTGGCTGTAGAGGTTACCAGGATGTGCATGCAGATGGGTTGTTCCAGTGTTCTCAGTGATCAAAACCAGCTCCCACTTGCCAGTTATGTGGTTGAAAACTTGGAACTAAACAGACCTGATCTTTCTCATGTGGCTTCTCTAGCAAAAGAAGATAGACCCTGCTTTCTCTGAATTGCCTGCAATGAGCAGTTCAGAGAAGCAGCCTGGTGAGAAAAGGTGCGAGTTTCTCTCTGTTGTTTTCCTGGATTTTCACTGTTAACGGGCAGAATTTCCTTCTTCCAGTTGACTCCTGTCCCCTTTGCTGCTGTCACCTGGCTGCACAGTGCCTGCCGTTGGCAGGTGTCCGTAGGACGCCAGGTTCTGGTGGCCCTAGCCACCCTCCATGGGCTGTGTGCATCTCAACATGCACAAGGTGACCTTTACTCCACGCGAGCAAGGCTAGCTGGATTTAGCTTTCCATGATACCTTATTCAAAGGATGGTAGAGATTTGGTCTTGTTTTGTTGACGTTTCCTCTGAGAGCACTCACCCATGAGGAGTGAAGCAAGGCATGGTGGCTGCCCTTAGCACAAGAGGCAGAGAGGCCCCGTCCTTCCTCCAGCTCTGAAAGCCCTACAAGGGGGACCAGCTCCCTTCCCCAACAGTTTCATTAATCTGTGGCCCCCCATGCCTGCTGCCCCCTTCTTTTTCTTTGAGCCCTGTGTGTCCCCATCATTCCCTGGGTGAAGGAGATGCTCCCTGCTTCTAATCCCTCTGCTAACTCCTTTTCTTTTCCCCTTTTTCCTGATCTTTCAGCAGCAGGGAAAAGTCCTGCTTCCAGCAGAACACACCAGGGAGTTTGCACAGGGTGAGGCACTGGAAAACGGGAGGGCTACAGGCAGAACAAATGGCAAAAAGTCACGAAGCTCAGTGTAGACTTCTACTTTGTTCAGCCAGCTGCTTTTGCTTGGATGCCCCCTCCTCCCCTTCTTTGTATGGCAGGCTGAAACTTGGGGTTGCGTGGAGTCTAATAAAAAGATTTCTCTACATCAAGAGTAACAGCCCATGCATCATGGTCTTTCATTGAGGTAAATTCCCTGGTTCCATCAGCTTACTGCAGAGTATCCTTAAAACATGTAACAGGAGCCTGCTATGGAGGCATATGAAAAGGCTTTTAAGTGTTATCTCTTATTCTTTGTCAAAGCAATAGGGGTTGGAAATACAGCTGAAAGCTCAACGATAAACGAAACTTTAATGCAGTAAAACTTTATTGAGGGTGAGATATCTCAACTTTTGCTGTCATTGATAATAAAAGCAGCAAAAATAGTCAGGTGTTTGCGTCATTTAACTGCAGAGGAATTTTCATTGCTCTAGTTCAAAGCCAATTTCTGCAACTGCAACCAGTTCTCATTGAGCCTGTGCTGGGGAAGGGCTATCAGATACTACTTGTAAGCCTTCCACTCTTTAGCATTTCAAAGGTTGCTACAGCTATTTTATCTGGACTGGAATTCTGTACCGAAAGGACAAACTCTCAGATACTTCACTTCTGTTTGGCTATTAGCAACGTGTGATTCTGCTGGGAAATGTGATCATGGAAAACAGCTCTTTGTGGTGTTTTATGACTGCTGCTGCTTGGCTCACGCTTTGTTTCAGCTGCCCATCCTTCAACATCCAACCAGGCATGGGAAACAGAGCCATGTGCGATCCTCACCTGTCAGTGTGGGAGAGGAGGCGCCTGCAGGCAGGGGGAGAGGCTTCGGAGAACAGCCACAACTTGTTTCGCATCCTGGGATCTCCCGTCCCTCCGCTCCCCCGAGATACGGGGCGTCCTGCTGGCACGTGTCCTGCAGAGGAGGCTGGAAGCTGGTGCCACTCAAGTCTGCCACCTACTTTTGTCCTGACCCAAAATTACGCTAGAGAGATTGCTTGGCACATCTGCACAAGGTGTACTAAAAAATGCTAAATGAGTCAGGGACAGAGGTTTGCATGGTTATAACACATAGTGGTATGGGGGTACTGGGATCATAGGAAAGGAATGGGGGTACTGGGATCGTAAAGAAAGGAATGCTTTAGATTTTGTGAATGTGCTGAAAATTCTTTTCCCCCAGGTTTATAAAACATTAATTTGTATTTTTTATTTTACTATTTTTTTTAAAATTTTAAATCAGTAAGTAATCTAGGACTAGCATTTGTTTTGCTAGCCCAGGCATTGCTTTGTACATAAGCTTCAACGTTTCCTTTCCTTTTATAATTTATTTTATATTTTGCAATGTTTTTCTCAAGATTTAATAGTTTTTCCATGTTTAGATTTTTTTTTAAGTCACATGCCGTTCTTCGTTCATCTGGATGCACCTGAGCATGTTCAAGTGATGCGAGGAGGTAGGGGAGGGGTATGGTGCCGTGGATGGCTGTAGGGTAAGAGCCTGGGTCTGGGCAGCTGCCTTAGAGGAGCTGTCACACAGTAACGTGATGGGACAGTGGGGTAAGAATGGGCTTAATCAGGCCTGCCAGATCTTCTGCTGTTGTCACTGCTTATGCCTGAAACCAGCCTGGAAAACAAGACATAAAACCCTGCATCCAAACCCAGCAAAGCCTGGCGTCCAAACTTGCATGTGAAGGCAGCACCTTTCAGGCCTGAAAGCAGGACACATTTTGCATTTTTCTGGTTACCTGCTGGTTAAAACCACTCCTTGTTTCCTTTATGAGACTGTTTTTACATGGATCCTGCATGTGATGTGCCAGGCTGGAGGCATAAACAAGTAAGAGAGAGCAATGAAGGTAAGACACCATTGAAGACTCAAGGGCTTGACTTTTCACTTCTTGTATACTTCCTTTGACTTTGATGGCTTGTTGTTTTCAAGGTGAACGATAGCACTCCTTCCAACAAGAGGAACAGGCATAAGGGGTAAGGAACCTCTGCCCTAGCAAGAAGAGCTCCCCTCCTCGCTAGGAACAGCTTCCCCAACAGAAACCCCCAGTACAGAGAGCTTTTAGGGAAACTCAGGTGAGGGCTGAAGGGATTCAGGCAGATGCCCCAGTGAACATCACTGTCCCTAGCTGGTTTTGGGGCGACCACCTTGGCTTCATCCTAGGCTCAGGAAGGTGACTGGACCCTGGCACAACCCAGGGACAGAGGATCCTGCTTGAAGTTTGGGGTTCACTAGCCCAGGGCTACAAACTGCAGAAAGGCAAGGGAGGCAAGCCTAGCACTGCCTCATTCATCTGCCACTCCTGTGAGAGGAGGACTATCATTTTTCAAGTTTAGCAACTGCAAAGTCATCAATTGCTATTTTTTCCCAGTTTCCCACCCTTCACCATTTTTTTTTAGCCCAGTAATGCTCCCTGTTTCAAAGCCTTGTGTCTGGTGTTTGTATATGGAGCAGCTTTGCTGTTAAGGGTTCCCAGGAGGATTAAATTGACTTGTCCCAGGTTTTGGGGTGTGAGCTGAAGATACTGATTTTTGCAGCAACTACTCAAAAACTGGTTTAAAAACTGGCTGGATGGCCGAGCCCAGAGAGTGGTGGTGAATGGAGCCAAATCCAGTTGGCGGCCGGTCACAAGTGGTGTTC